ATGACTCTGTATGATAATGCATGAAGTGCCATAGATCTTCTTCAAAATGTGATCGACCTAAATTTCTGGTGGTTCATCCTGTAATGCAACCTTGCAATGTAGCCTTGAGATTCTCAAGCCCTTGTCAATGAGAAGGGCTGGCGTAGGCTCAACATTTGGAAGTAAATACTGTATTGAAGTATGTCCCGGCTAATCCGCAGAAAGCCTCCTGTCGATTGAAGACCCATCGCAATTTATTTCCTAGAGCGCAGGACTCGACGCCTGAGGCGATACACTGCAGGCTGGTTGTAAGCGAGGTCACCATCCGACAATGGATCCGTAGTAGCACCGGGGAGCGATTCACGACTCGCGGCCAGCAAAAAGCTCACAAGACCCCCGTTGTCATTCTGCTATTTGCTTCAGACCACCAGAATAGCTAAAAGCTTCAAAGCACATTCCAGACACAGATTATCATGAAGACGTACGCTGCTTTCGCTGCTTCCGCCCTTATCGTGGCCACCACGATGGACTCGACCACGGCCATGCAGTCGTACCTCGAGGAGATCCCGAACGGCAGCTTGTTCACGCAGGAGCTGGGCCACCCGGGCAAGGACAGCTCGAAGTTCACCAAGTTCGGTACTGCTTTCGGTGCCGCGGACCACACGTGGACGGCTGAGTTTTGCAAGGCTACGTTCCCTGGCGCTTCGATGACGAACGGTGAGGCGTTCGGTGACCCGTGTTGCACGTGGAAGAAGGGCGGCAAGCCGGACTTCACGGTGAGTGCTTTCACGACGACTCCTGGCAAGGCTACCACTTGCGCTTCTGGTGGCGGTGGCGGCAGTGCTGCTGGTGGCAGTGCCGCTGGTGGCAGCGGTGGTGCTGAGACTCCTTCGGCTGAGACCCCGTCGACGGAGACGCAGGGATCGGGAACCGAGACGGAGAGCTCAGGTGCTGAGACCCCTTCGGCTGAGACCCCGTCGACAGAGACTGAGAGCTCTGGAGCTGAGACGCCTTCTGCTGAAACACCGTCGATGGAGACCCCTGCGCCGGCTACTGGCGGATCTTCGATTGGTGGTGGTTGGGGTGCTCCACCGGCCACGGGTGGCGGCGGCTGCGGTGTCCGTCGTGCACGCAAGTTCCGTCACTAAGCGAATTGCGACTTTTGTGATCCTTTGTATCAATGTTATGCGTCGTCCTTAAGAGAACAGAACGAACGAAGTCTCGAGGCGTTGTCGTAGTACTGTAGTAGGTTGTTGTCTAATAGACAAACTGAGAACTTTTACTCGCTCTTGCTTTAATGTTATGCACAGCTGTTGGTAACTAAAAAGGTCTTTTAATTAAGAAAGAGATAAAGTTAAGCAAGACATCATCTTGTGATACAATCAACATGTAAAGCGAGAATGGAAATATAATAAAATTAAAAGAGAGAAGAGCATTATGTTTATTATGCTTCTCTTTTGTCGCTGGAGTATCCTGAAATTCTCGAGATACTTTTAGGTAATCGAATATATCTGTCATTTACCTATTTAAATTTTGTGGAGATAATCAAGAGTTCGATATGCATGTCGTTTTTCCCGGTAAGCTCGATTGGGTCTGCTAGACGCAATCGCATATCCTTTCAGCGACAACTGGATCACGGACAACAGGAGTCAGGCATATCGAGATTACCAGGCGTTTCTGTAGGTGCTGGGGCAGTCGCGGAAGAACTGTGCTTCCGTCGCCGAAGTAGTCATATCGGTAGTCGGGTTTTCAATGACCGGATCTTGACAAAGTCTGTGAACTGAGAATTGTCGTTGCCTGGATTTTCAAGCTCCTTTAGAAAAACTCCCTTTTGTAGATACTAGGTGAGACCCACGAAGGAGTTTATTAAGGTGCAACGATAATAAGGGCGATAATAGGTTTTCATCGCATTTTCATTGCAGATATATCATTAACAAGGTGATTGTGTTGAATTGGAAAGTAAATTCTGCTCGCTCACCTGCGCATCAACACTGACGGAAAATTCCTATCGCAGCCATGAAGCCATGTGCCGCCTCGGAAAAGATTCTCGAATGCATTCCGCCGAAGCGGTGCCAGTAGATCCACGAATCGGCGAAAGCTTGTTCTGGCTTCATGCCAGAGCGAGATCGGCGTTGAAAGGCAGCTTCGAGTCCAGCGCAGCGACGACACCCCGAAACGTTGAGGTTGAGATAGACGTCTCGTGTTGACTGTCCAGAGCAAACTCGCTGACGTTGAAGCTGTCACGATTGTTGCGTTGCTTTCGCTGTCAGCGGCTGGCTCGGTGGCACCTTTGCGGCTGATGGATCTCGCAGTTCCCTCCACCGGTAGGTCCTTCACGTAACCGAGACCTCAGCAAAACTCTTTTTCTTGTGGTGAGTACCTGCAATGGACAGGTACTTCGAAATAGTTCTCGCACGGGGAGCGGCGTGCTCACCAGAAGTCGTCCCTGTCGTTCGATTCCTTCAAGGTCTGGCCCACAAGGCCCCCTTGTAGGCCAGACCACCAGAACGGAGACTCTATCAAT